GTATCAACTTTAGTTCTAATATTTAAATTATTTACCATGAAAGCTTTCCTAATTTTTTCAGTATAACTCACTAAATGTCTTTTAGTGTGCTATATTAGAATAATTGTGGACTAGAAGTATAAGTCTGCAGCATCCTCCAAACAGAAGACTTAGGCTATATATAAATTTGATTTTAAGAAAAAAATCTGAGTCTGAGTTTCAGAAAATACCTTGTGTTTCCTCCCAGGTTTGGGTTGGGTGGATTTAAGTTCAAGATAACTAGCTGCTAACCATGTTAGGATGTGACCAATGTGGATATTGAAGAGGTTTCAGAATGTCAGTGAGAGAATTTTAAACCTACCATCAATTGATTTCATAGCATAGCTATGTTATATAGCTTCTAACTTTGCATATGAGTCACGTTCTTAGCAAAACGCACATACCATATTCAAATAGTAAAACATTGTAGACACTGCTAAGACTATACAATTCATTCACCCTTCTTCAGACGCATAATTTTTTAAATGTCTTACCTGGAATTTTATCAGATTGAGAAAATGAATTGACCAAGTGACAATTCAAAATTTTATAAGAAAAAATTGATTCAACAGTGTCAATAAAATATTTATGAAGTACAGTTTTAGCTATTTTCAGTTATATGTTATTTCTAACCACAGTAGTCACAATCATGTTTTCTAAAGAGCTAATTATTTGTATTTCTAACCAATCTATAAGAAAACTATAGTCAGAACTAAAAAAAAAGGCCCAATCCTTGTTCTCCATGGAGTTCAAAATCTGCTAGTGGATACTGTTGAACAAATATTGTTAATCCAATGTGAGAGGGACATGATTGACCATTGTCCTGCTGTCCAAAGCAATGAAGCATTTCGCTGTTCCAGCTCTAGAGAAGTTTTTAAAAATACTTAGTCTAAGTGGAGAATGGGCAAGACTAGACATCTTTTTACTTCAAGTGTTCATTTCCATTCATCTCGAGAGATGTCTTCAACCATCACTCCTCACCTTCAGCCTTTCACAGGGCTCCGAGGTTCAAACTCTAGAGAGCTCCAATCCCAGTATGGTCTGCACGCAGTTGTGTATGACTTCAGCAATACAGGCTGTTTAGTCACTCTCACTGATTACTCTCCCATTTATAGATGCTCAGAGAATGCAACTGTGATTGAGACATGATGGCAAATAGCCTGCATCAATCAGCACTCCATTTCAGAATTAAAACACATCTTGTCAGCCAGCCTTTAACCGTTTGGGGTGTTCAAATGAAGCACATTTGTCATTGTAGCCCTGTACCAATTCAAGACTAGTATTTCTGTTAGGTGCTTTATCATTCAAACCCATCAAAGAGAACAGAAACCACATTAGTTGTTTTAACAGAATGTAAGGAATTTACTCATCTGGTGTTAAGGGGACCAAACTCAAACTACCTTAGAGTCAATGTCAGCTCGCAACAACCCTATAAGACAGAGTAGAACTGCCCCTCTGAATTAGCGAGGCTGTAACTGTTTATGGGAATTGAAAGCCTCATCTTTCTCTTGAGGCACAGCTGGTGGTTTCGAGCTGAGGAATTTGTGGATTGTAGCCCAACGCATCTGCTACACCGAAAGGAAACATAGAGAAAATTTTAGAAAGGAGCGACCATGCCTAACCTACCATGCCCACTAAAAGAAATAACCTTTCCTGATTTTTAAACTTAGTACAAAGTTACAGTAATCAAACAGTGTGGGATAAAGATACACCAAATGGGATAGAATTGGGAGTCCAGAAATGAACTGGTACATCTATGGCCAAGCCAAATCCATTCAACAGAGAAAGAAGAATCTGTTTAACAAATAGCATCAGAACATTTGAATGTCTACATTTAAGAGAATTAAGTTGGATCTATATTTCACACCATACAAAAATGAACTCTTGAACAACAAAAGTATAAGAGCTAAAACCATAAAATACTTGGAATATTTTTGCAATGGATTTTTAAGAATGAAACAAAGCATGAACAACAGCAACAAAAGAAAATTTCATAAAAATTTTTAAAATGTGTGCATTAAAGGACTTCAAGAAAGTGAAAAGAGAACCTCTAAAATGTTATAAAATATTTAGAAACCATATATCTTCTCAGGGTCAAGTGTCCAAAATACATAAAGAACTCTTATAACTGAACATTAGAACGCCAAACCAGTTCAAAATGGGCAAAAGACTTGAAGACATTTCTCCAAAGAAGATGTAAAATGCCAAGAAACATGAAAAGCTCGTCAACATCATTAGTCACTGTTGCTCCTTCTGCTAGGTGCCATGAAGTCACCGCCGAATCTTGTGAGCCATGGACAACAAAGTGGACACTGGTCCTGCACCCTCCTCAACTGTCTTCAGTCCACTGTCACGGCCACTTTGTCAGTTCGTCTCTTTAAGGGTCTTCCTCCTTTTCACTGATTCTCTACCAAGTGTGATGTCGTTTTTTCAGGGACTGGTCACTCCGGGTAACATGTCCAGAGCATGTGAAATGAAGTTCCGTCTTCTTCGGCTCTAGGGAATATTCTGGCTGCATTGCTTCCAAGATAGATTTGTTTGTTCTTTTGGAAGTCCATGGAATATTCAGTATTCTTTACCAATGCCATAATTCAAATGCAGCAATTCTCCAGTTTTCCTTATTCATTATCCATCATTTACAGGGATATGAGATTATTGAAAGTACCATGGCTTGAGTCAGGCACACCTTTATCCACAAATTAACAAAGTTTCTCTTTAACACATAACTCTCAGGAAGATTTGCCCTGTGTAATACGTAATCTGATTTCTTGACTGCTACTTCTATGAACAGTGATTGTGGATCCAAGTAAAATTGAATCCTTGATAACTTCAATCTTTTCCCATTTATCATGATGATGTTTACTGATCCAGTCATAATGATTTTTGTTTACTTTGCAGTGTAATCCATACTGAAGGTTGTATTCTTTGATCTTTGTAAGTTAGTGCTTCAAGTCTTCATTTTCAGCAAACAAGGCTGTGTAGCTCCACATTGTATTAGTCATCAGGGAAATAACCTTAGTCATTAGGGAAATGAAAATGAAAACCACAATAAGATACCACATTGCACCCACTAAGACAGCTATTATTAGAAAAGTTAAATAATACGGGAATTATTGAGTAATGCCTAATTGGTACAGAGTTTCTCTGGGGTGATGAGAAATTTTGAAAGTAGATAGTAACATTGGTTGTATACCATTGTGAATGTAATTAATGTACCCTTAAATTGGCTAAACAGGCAAGTTTTGTTTTATATATTTTACCATTGTGATTTTAAGTTAACAAAAACACTATACCCAAGTCAAATTTACTACTCGGCCAAACGGCACTACTAAAGTGTGTAGGCAAGTATCTCAGCCTTGCCATTGCGTTGGTTCCAACCCAGGATGGCTTCAGGGGTCAGAGTGGAACTGCTCGGTAGGATGTTCAGTGGCCGGTGCTTTTGGAGTGGGTCACCAGGCCTTTCCCCCAGAGTTCCTCCTAGTGGACTCAAGCTCCAGCCTTGAGTCAGCAGTTGAACAGGCAAACGGACCCCAAATAATAGTCATCATAGAAGTGGTCAATCTCACGATTTTCTAATTCGGAATCCTGATGTGTATTATTATCGGTACTAATAGTAAACTAGTCTGTACTTGTATTTTAAAAATACAAATGTGGCTATTGTTGGGTGCTTCTACTGCTGCTATTCAACAGGTTTTCATTTGCTAATCCCCTGCAGTGGACAGCTTAGTCCTTCTCCAGCCTATTTCTGTCCTTAGCCTGGAAGCTCAGCTGAAACCTGTCCATGATGTGTGTCCCTGCCGGTATTTGAAATACTGGTGATAGAGTTCCCAGCATCACAGCAACAAACGAGGCATTACAGTATGACACACTGACAGACCTGTCATCTGCAAACTGGCCCCAAGTCATCACTATTTTAGCTTAAGCAAAGGCTATTTTCAGTGGTGCATTTTCACTTAATCCTTAGCAAACCTCCCTCACTCCTCAGCGTCGATGTCATTTTGTATCTGAACAGGTGTGCCCTATATTAAAGGTAACTGAAAACAGACTGTCCTGTAGCACTAATAAAATTTCAAAATGTATTTATTTATACCCTGGAAGTGTACCTAATACAGACATAAGGACTTTTTTGTTCTAAGAAGTTAACAGAACCAAGTAGAAACAAAATATTTAATTGAAAAGAACATTACAGTACACTTTGGGGAAAGGTACTAGAGAGAAAGGTTTCAAGTGATGTTTACTGACTTAACTAATGGATGTTAAATAGAAATAGCCTATATTCTTTGGATTTTTGTTATTACTCAGCATTAACATTATTTCAGATGTAGATATAAGGTCGAAAAAAGCCCCACATTGCTTGGTGTAATACACCATCGATATTTAGTGATATACACAAGCACATAAGTTTCAGGATTTCAACAATGTTCAGGTAGTGACTACCTTACCAAATAAGTGGTTCTTGAACTTTAGTGTACGTCAGAATGACATGAAGGGCCTGTACAAACATAGATTCCTGGACCCTAATCCCAGAGTTTCTGCTTCATTAGGCTTGGGTAGGACTTTAGAATTATATTTTGAACACATTCTCAGAGTCACCTTCTGTCAGTGCCTGTAAGGTTTTATGCCTATACCTAAAGACACTGAAGACTTTAAGTCCACAACAGAAATTGTGAAGAGAATATGAGCAGTTACTATTTTAAGAACTTCAAGTGGGCAACAGTAAGCCTACGATTGATTATAATACAGTAGTAGTTCCTAGTAGTAGTAGATTATATTTCAGTTGGTGGGACAGATGTGTATTGGCACAATGGAATGAGCCTCATTTCCCTGGCATAAGTGTCTGTGCTACAGAGATGGAATGCAGAAGATTCCATAATCTATTTAATTATAGCTGAAGGGAATTTCTACCATAATGGTAAGAGAATTTTAAGACGTATACATGACAGAATATCTTTCAACATGAAAAATGAGGAAAAAATCACCAAAAATGTTCACATTCTTGTTATTACCATAGTGTTGTCAAGTGCTTGCACTCCACTCAGATACTGTTCATAGCCTTGAACCTACAAGCACAATTACCAAAAAAAGGTAAAATACATTCCGTTTTTATTAAGTTAGTATAATTCCTATGATGGTTAGTGTAACTCAATCACAATTGATGACCCATTTCTAACTTTCTATAATCAACATACGGAAAGCACGCAATGCTAAGTTCCTCTTTCGTACATCCTTTAAGACAACACTTTTCTGAATATCCTCTGCGTTTTCTTTGGGGATGATTCCCCCAAAACCAACTGCTTAAGGTTTTCATTTTGTCTGATGTTTTCTCCTGAAAGCCCACAATCTCATGACTGTATGGAATGAGATACGATGAAGAAAACTCTCTAGTGTTGTCAGGTGGGGGCGTGCTCTTTTGAGGCAGAGTCCCAGGTCGTGGCCTTATCTTCATATTGCGTATTGCTGCTTCCATAAAGACTGCAGTAGAGACTGTGAGAGGCAAGAAGAAGAAAAAGGCTACAATATGAAAGTACTCTTGGATGAAATTTTATTGATGATATCAGAATGCTAAAATCAGTTCATTATTGAAAAGGCAAGAAATTCCACATTAAGTAAAAAAGCATGGCTATTAAAAAGAGTGATTTTAACTGAAGTAGTTGTAGGTAGCATTTTCTTATAAAAAGACTTCGAAACCTTGGCATATAATGTATACTAAGCTATCTCATTGAGGTATGATTCAGATGCAATATGATTCACATATACATGCATTGTAAAGCATACACGTCAGTGGGTTTTAGTATTTTCACAAGGTACAGCCATCGCCACTATCAAATTCCAGAACATTTCTGTCACCACCCACCCCAAAAGAAACCCCATGCCATTGGCAGTCACTTCCTTGTCACTCACCTGCCAGCACCTGAGCCCCTCCACATCATTTTTCCTTTAGAGATTTGCTGATTCTAGCTATTTCATGAAAATTGAATCATATATGGCCTTTGTGTCTGGCTTCTCACACCATAATGTTTTAAAGGGTCACTCATGCTAGCACACGAATCACTATTTCATTCCTGTTTAACTGTATAATATTTCATTGTATAACTAGATGCCATGTTTCTGATCTGTTAGTAGATGGGGGGTGTTTCCACTTTATGTTTTGAATGCTGCCATTAATGTTTGCATACAAGTTTTTATGTGAGCATATATTTTAAATTCTCTTGAGTGTGTATGTCCAGGAGTTGAACTGTTGGACCATAGGTGGTTTTATAATTAATTTTTTGAGAAACCACCAAACTATCTTCCACAATGGTGGCACATTTTACATTCCCACCATCAATATATAAGAGATCAAGGTTCTCTATATCCTTGCCAACACTTGTTATTTTCCATTTTTAAATTATAGTCATCCTATAATTTTTAAGAAAGTGGTTTTGCTCTGTTTTTCCCTAATGACTAATGGTATTGAGGATCTGTTCATGTGCTTTTTGGTCATTAGTATATCTTTGGAGAAATGACTTCAAGTTCTTTGCCCACTTTTTCTTTTATTGTGAATTGGGTGAAGGTTTACAGAGCAAATCACTTTTTCATTCAATAGTTCATACACACTGTTTCATGTCACTAAGCGCAATGCCCACAATATAACATCACTTATCCCCCTTCCTTCCTCTTTCCATGTTTCCTTCTTTCCTACTTTAGCGGCCTTCTATTTCCTTGTCTTTGCCCAATTTTAAAAATCAGGTCATCTATAGTCACATTTTATAAATAGACATATAGTAGAAACAAGCCATTGTCCATTGAAATCTAAAGAAGTGGAGGAGTGGTGATACACTCAAGGTATAGTGAATGAACTGATTGTTACTAACATTCACCATCAGCCTGCTCTTAACTCATTCTGTCTTATTGGGAAAAAATAATAACTCCAGGAAATAATTGTTTGGGGGCCTGTTGAATTTCTCTCATGGTCCTAGTCCATTTACAGTCTCTTCTAGGAGAATATATTTGTAAGTGGCCCTTAAAAGGTCACTTCAGTCATGTTCTGAACCATATGACTCCACCCTCTAGTCACAGATCCCAAAGAAAACCAATCTGTTACAGTGGCCCACAAGCAATCAATCCATGCTACGTGAAATAAAGTAAGTTGCCCAATAAATTTTTCTCTTTGAAACTGGGATGAAGAAATCATGTGAAAATGACTCAGAATAAAAGCTGAGAGGGTTCAGGAGGCTAGTCGTGATAAACTAAGCCCCATCAAAGACAGACAATGAAAGACTGCAACAGAGAATGGTCGTTGTTACAAGCTGATGTGGCTCCAGAGGCTCTCCAGAGCATTTTCAGGTCAATTTATAAGGCTTGTTTTATAACTCTCACTTTTCTTGAAGCTAGTTTGGTGAATCTCTCCCTTTTAGTTACAAAATTCTATTATAACACTCTAATAACTTTGCCCTTAAATATGTAAGCTGAACTGTGGATTATTAAACTTTAATCTTGATGTCAAGAAGCAAGTAATCAGTAATATAATATGATGATAAATAGGCATTGAAGGGAAAAGGTGTATTAAGTTATCTTGGTGGTTGAAGAAAAAGCTTCATGGATGAAGTGCACATGTTCTTAAAGGGTGAAAAAAAGGCATGCGATAAGAAGGAAGCTTTCATGAAAGAAGGAAACTACAAGGTACACAGCAAAGCACTTGTCTATGCCAGTGGATTTGGAATCGGCTAGCTGGCCAACTGACTGGAAGATCCAGATTTGTGCCCATTCCAAAGTAAGGTGACCCAAAAGAGTGTGGAAATGTTTAGATAACAGCACTGATAACAGATGCAAGTAAGTTTTGCAACAGTACATTGCGAGGAAGCTGCCAGAAATTCAAGCCGGATTCAGAAGATGATATGGTATGAGGGATATCATTGCTGATGCCAGATGGACCTTGGCAGAAAGCAGAGAATTCCAGAAGGATGTTAACTTGTGCTTTATTGACCTTGCTAAGGCGTTTGACTGTGTGGACCATAAAATACTCCGAATAGCCTTGAGAAGAATGGGAATCCCAGAACACTACATTGTGCTCATGTGGAACTGGTACATGGATGGAGGCATTTGTGCCAATAGAACACAGGGATGCTGCATGGTTTCAAGTAAGGAAAGGTGTGTCAGGGCAGTACCCTATCACCATACTAATTTAATCTGTGTGCTGAGAAAATAGAGAAGCTGGACTCTGTGAAAAAGACAAGGCATCAGGATTGGAGAAAGGCTTAACCTGAAATATGAAGGGGACACAACCTTGCTTGTTGAAACAAGAAGGACTTGATCACTTACTGACGATCAAAGACTGCAATCTTCAGTATGGATCACAACTCAATGTGAAGAAAGCTAAAGCCCTCACACTGGGCCCAATCAACAACATGATACACAAAAAAGACTGATGTTGTTAAAGATTTCATCTGACTTAGATCCACAATAAACACTCCTGGAAGAAGCTGTCAAGTTATCAAAGTGACATTATTGCATTGGGCATATATATATCTACTGCACAGAAACTCCTTAAAGTGTTGAAGACCAACGATGTTATTTTCAGGGCTAAAGTGGTTCTAACACAAGCCAGGATATATTCAAGGACTTCATAGGCATATGAAAACTGAACAACAAATGTAGAGGGTAGAAGAATTGATACATTTGGATTACTGTGCTGTCAAGGAATATTGAAAATATCATGGACTGCCAGGGAGACACAAAAATATGTCATAGAAGTAGTACAGCCAGAAGTTAAAATGGCAAGACTTCATTTCATATGCTTTTGACTCTGTGGTAGTTATGTGATCTGGTGTCAATTTGAGGTTTCAGAGTGAAGGGGTGGTATCTAGCCTGTCAATCAGATCGCAACTTGATGGAGGCACTAAGGAGATAAATAGCTGGCTGGGGGTGGGACACATGTTTACTCGCTGACTCTCTACGGACAAGACACATGGGGCTGTGGTGATGGCAGCAAGAGCCCTGGACCTGGAGAAGCCACGTGGAGACCCACACCAGCACTGAGATGCTTCCACCATCACTGGATCAACAAGACTATCCACTCACTGGCCTGTGATATTCCTGCATTTGGCATCATTGCAGGTATTGCGTGAGTTTGAAGAGGACTTTATAGATTGGTGTCGGACATTCAGACATATGGGCTAATATCAGACTTATGGACTTGATTTGGACTGACCTGGGGTGTTTTCTCAATATTCAATTGCTCTTGTACCTAAGGCTCTTTCTTATACACATGAGTGTCTGTGAATTTGTTTCTCTAGCCCACCCAGACTCACACAGATGCACATATCAAGAGTAATGTCCTTAGAGAAGGCCATAATGCTTGGTAAAGGTGAGGTTCGAGGTAAAGGGGAAGATCCTCTGACTGATTGACACAGTGGCTCAAACATGACCACTACAACTATTGTGAAGGTGGTGCAGGATTGGGCAGTGTTATATTCTGTTGTATATAGGGCAGTTATGAATTAGACCCAACTCAAGGGTGTGGGGAACAGAAGGATTTCTCTTAAGTTGTCTCCCCAAAATACGTACCAAACTTAGCTGCTTAAGAGTGACTGTACAATAGGTGATCAGCGAGAGTAGGTCAGAGGTTATTCTCCTTAACATCGGCCATCTGTAGTGGCTAGACTATTAGTCTG